TATTTTTATTATTTACAAACCTCCTCCTCGTGTGACGCTGTGACCCCCTGCCGCATCACCTGCCTCACAACACTGTGTTTTAGCTTCTTCATAGCAGGTATGGCTGTTTGGAACTTTCTTTAAAAAATGTTTATTTATTTTTGAGAGAGACAGAGACAGAATGCAAGCAGGAGAGGGGCAGAGAGAGGGAGACACAGAATCCAAAGGAGGCTCCAGGCTCTGAGCTGTCAGCACAGAACCCCATGCAGGGCTGGAGCCCACGAACGAACTGTGAGATCATGACCTGAGCCTAACCTACTGAGCCAGCCAGGGGCCTCTGTGTGCTTTTATTTTTTTTTAAGTTTACTTATTTATTTTGAGAGAGAATGATAGCGAGCAGGGGAGGGGCAGAGAGAGGGAGAGAGAGAATCCCAAGCAGGCTCTGCACTGTCAGCGCACAGCCCGATACGGGGCTTGAACTCACAAACCATGAGATCATGACCTGAGCCAAAATCAAGAGTGGGGCCCTTAACCAACTGAGCCACCCGGACACCCCCGTGTGTATTTCGTTCTCATGGTGTGTGTCCTCCATGAGACCATTAGCTGCACAGGGCAGGGACATGGACTGCTTTGTTCAGAGCTGTGGCCCCAGCGCCCGGCACATAGTAGGTGCTCAATATGTAGTCACTCAAGGAATGCGTAAGCCATCCACGTCAATGCAGTTCTCTGAGGGGCGCCTGGGTGGCTCAGTCGGTTAAGCGTCCGACTTCGGCTCAAGTCATGATCTCACGGTCCGTGAGTTCGAGCCCCGCGTCGGGCTCTGTGCCGACAGCTCGGAACCTGGAGCCTGCTTCGGATTCTGTGTCTCCCTCTCTCTCTGACCCTCCCCCGTGCATGCTCTGTCTCTCTCTGTCTCAAAAATAAATAAACATTAAAAAAAAATTAAAAAAAAAATACAGTTCTCTGTGGTCTTATTGAATCCTCGGCAGTTACAGACGGGGAAACTGAGGCTCTGAGTAGTGCAGTCGCTTGCCGTAGTGTTTGGCCTCGGTTTTCTGTTCATTCACACAGTACAAGGTTTGGGAGCCCCTTCTGGTTGCTGGGGGCTGGGGGGCGGTGGGTGCACTGTGACATAACAACGGCCACAACAGCTCCAGTCCCCCCTGCCCAGGACTTGGTTAGTGGTATTTTATTTATATGATAGACTCAAATGTGGCACCTACTGTGTGTCAAGTACAGTTTGGGGCACTTTGCACATAGGTTGTTTCACCCTGCTAATAAAGCTATTATTGTTATCCCCATCTTATTTATTTATTTACTCATTTATATTTGAGAGAGAGGGAGAGCACAAGCAGGAGAGAGGGGTTGGGGGGGGGGGAGACAGAGAGAAAGAGAGACAGAGACAGGGACAGAGACAGAGAGAGAATCCTAAGCAGGGTCCATGCTCAGTGTGGAGCCTGACGAGGGGCTGGATCCCAAGACCCTGGGATCACGACCTGAGCCGAAATCAAGAGTCAGACGCTCTACTGATTGAGCCACCCAGCAGCCCCATATTTATTCTTTAAAGTTTCTTTTATTTATTGACGCTTAAGTCATTTGTATACCCAACATCGGCTCGAACTCACAACCCCGAGATCAAGAGTCGCCACCCTCCACTGACGGAGTCAGCCAGGGTCCTTCATTCATCCCCATTTTAGAAATGAGCAAACTGACACACACAGAGAGGCTGAGTTGTTGGCCCAAGGCCACACTGCTAGTAAATGACCTTCCGGGGAGAGTTACACCCAATGATGAGGCTGCTTATGTAGGAGGGAGAATCACAGAGATAGTACGCTTCTCATCAGAGACCCAGGAGTCGGGGAGATAGAGAACCAGTATCTCCTAACTCTTTTTTTTTTTTTAATTTTTTAATTATTTATTTTTTTTTTAATTTTTTTTTTCAACAAACATTTATTTTTATTTTTGGGACAGAGAGAGACAGAGCATGAACGGGGCAGGGGCAGAGAGAGAGGGAGACACAGAATTTGAAACAGGCTCCAGGCTCTGAGCCATCAGCCCAGAGCCCGACGCGGGGCTCAAACTCACGGACCGCGAGATCGTGACCTGGCTGAAGTCGGACGCTTAACCGACTGCGCCACCCAGGCGCCCCTAATTTTTTATTTTTGAGACAGAGCATGAACAGGGGAGGGGCAGAGAGAGAGGGAGACACAGAATCTGAAGCAGGCTCCAGGCTCTGAGCTGTCAGCACAGAGCCCGACGCGGGGCTCAAACTCACGGACCGTGAGATCGTGACTTGAGCCGAAGTCGGACGCTAAACCGACTGAGCCACCCAGGCGCCCCTCTCCTAACTCTTCAAGGGAAATAACAAGGAACCCAGAATTAGGGATTTCAATTTGGAGGATGAGATGAAGGTATTTTCAGATGAGCAAGACTCAGAACCTTACTATCCACGATTGTCCCTGAAAGCATTAGAAGTGAACGGACTCTGGCAAGTAGTAAAATGAATTCAGAAGGAAGAAGGTTATGGGGGAGCCTGGGTGGCTCAGTCGGTTAAGCGTCCAACTTCGGCTCAGGTCATAATCTCGGAGTTCAAGCCCTGCGTCGGGCTCTGTGCTGACAGCTCGGGGCCTGGAGCCTGCTTCCCATTCTGTGTCTCCCTCTCTCTCTGCCCTTCCCCTGCTCATTGCTCTGTCTCTCTCAAAAATAAATAAACATTAAAAAAAAAAAAAAAAAAAGAAGCAGGTTATAAAAAGTAACAGAATTGTTAGGGGCTGAATCCTGTCCTCCAAAAAAGAGATGTTAAAATCCTAACCCCTGATATTTCAGAATGTGACCATATTTGGAAATAAGATCTTTACGGAGATATCAAGTTAAAAATGAGGTCATTAATGTGGGCCCTAATCCAATACGACTGGTGTCTTTATAAAACAGAGGAGTTGAGACACAGAGACAGACACACACAGAGAAAAGACCATGACCCAGGGAAAAGAAAGATGGTCATCTACAAGCCAAGATACTCCTGAGGCTCCCAGCAGCTAGGAGAGAGCCCTGGAAGAGATTCTTCGTCTGTGCATTCAGAAGGAGCAGAACCCTCCCCAGACCTTGACTTTGGACCTCTAGCCTCCAGAACTGTGAGACAATACATTTCTGTTACTTAAGCCATCCAGTTTTTGGAGCTTTGCTACAGCTGTCCTAAGATACTAATACCAAAATGTATTTACGAATCCACTGTGCAAAAAAAGAAAACTATTTACAAAAAAACTTTTATCGTAGTCTCCTCACAGAAGCTGGAATCTTTGGAAAGATGGAGACAATGAATATATTCAGGTATATGAAAAAGATGTCAAACTTCTTTTAATTAACCCACCAATGCATTGAAATTCCAATCTCAGTCTCAATAGGATTTTTCATGGAAGTAGAAATCAGCTGCTAAAATCACTAGAAAAGGTATAAAAATGGTAAAGATAGATTTGAAACGGAACAGAGGGGCGACTTGCCTGATGGGATAACAAAACATCAGAATAAAATCATCCAACAGTGCAGCATGGAGGCAAGGAACAGATATACAGATTTTTAATACAACTCACTAGAAATGTCAGAAATAGACCCATGTATATATGGGAATTTGGTTCACGATAAAGGTGAAATATCAAAACTGGGGAAAGGATTGATTAAAAAAAATTTTTTTAATGTTTATTTTTGAGAGACAGAGAGAGAGACAGAGTGGGAGTGGTAGAGGGGCAGAGAGAGAGAGAGAGAGAGAGAGAGAGAGAGAGAGAGACACAGAATCCAAAGCAGGCTCCAGGCTCCGAGTGCCGAAGTCTGATGCTTAACCCACTGAGCCACCCAGGCACCCAGGGGAAAGGATTGCTTTTTAAAATAAATGGTTTGGGGACAATTGGCTACATTCATCCTAAGTTCCTACCATAGTGTATTTTCAAAAGTAAGTCTGATACAGATGAAAAACAGAAACAAAATCAAGACTCAGAAAAGTATTCTAAGCAATTGTAGGATATATTTCTGACCTTAGCCTATAGCAGGCTTCCTAAACAACCCACCGAAATCCAAAGTCAGGATGGAACACACTGATAGGCGTGAATAAACACTAAGAACTTCTCTGTGACATAAACAAATAGTTAAAAATACAAAGTGCACACTAGGAGGAAATATTTGGAATATATATTAAATCGACTAAGAATCAGAATCGGAATCCATAAAGTACTCCTACAAATTAATACTAATAAAAAAGGCATACAATCCCGTTTAAAAAAAAAAATGGGCAAAGGATATGAGCAAGCAATCCACATAGGACAAACTACATAAGACCAATAAACTCACAAAAAAGATGTTCTCTCTCCTTAGTAATCAGAGAGCCGCAAGTTAGAACAGTGTGATACTGTTCTTTCAGGAAATGACTAATACTAACTCATCAACCAGGTCTCAGCTCAGATGTCCCTTCCTCCAGGAAGCCCTTCCCTACCCTCGGGCTGGGTGGGCGGCCCCTCCCCAACCCTCTCCCGGGCGTCTGGGATCTCCCAACCCAGCCTTGACCATTCCAGGTCGTCCCTTTTGGGGGACGAGTCGGCCTCTCCCAGTGAACTGTGAGCTCCAGGAGGGCAGGAGGGGGCTATGGTTGTCGTTGGTCACCTCTGAGTCAGTAACACTGCCCCTCACAGGCCCGGGAACAGAGGAAGCGCTGGGGGAATATGAGTGGAATGAAATAATGAATGAATGTGGAAACTGAGGCCAAGTCAATGGCAGAGCCGGGATTCCATCCAAGCCTGTACTGAGGGGAGGAACCTAATTTGATCTCCCGCCGTTTTTCCCCACTGATTCCTGCCCGGAGCCCGAGCACAAGTTGGTGCTTAATAAGGGCATCAAAATGGAAATTCTCGGCAATCAGGGACGTACAGGGGGGTAGACGGACGGCTCTCTCTCCAACACAAATCTCCGCAGTCCTCCAGGATCATAGAGAGCTGCGCAGGGACGGCCCCTGTCGAAGTTCTACCCCTCTGGGGAACGGTGAGGGCGGGATCGAGGGCTAGAGAGGCCGGAAGTGCGGCGAGCCCGGGGCCGCGCTGGCCGCGCCGGCGGTGGGACGCCTCTGTCCCTCTCCGGTCTTTTACTCCCGGCTCGGGGACGAGGAGGTGAGTCGTCGCGGCGCTCAGACAGCGGGGCTGGGTCGAGAGGGGCGGGGAGGGACCTCCGGTGGCGATTGGCAGCCGCAGAGGCCAACCATTCGTTGCAGTGCCTGAGAGATGGACGAGATGGAGCGAGGGGAGGGTATCCAGGCGCCAGCCCTGCGGGCGGGACGGAGGGGGACGGAGGCTGGGGCGGGCAAACGGAAGGCGGGGAACAGTGAGGGCGGGGTGACTAGAACGCGCGGAGCGAGGGGCGGGGCGAATGAAAAGTCTGGACCGGTAAGGGGCGGGGCGAACGGAAGGTGAGGCTCCGTGTGGGCGGGGCTTTATAGACTCTGGGGCGCTCGGTGTTTGGAACTTGATGCCCTGGAGCCCTGGGATTTCTAGGGGCGGGATGGCCGTGAGTGGGGGTTCCTGCTGGAAGGATGGGCATGCAGGCGTTGCTGTCTCACTCGCCTCCGCCGCCCTGTCTTCATTTTCAGGCCCCAGAAGAACCTTGGGATGGACGAAGAGGGAGTGCGGCAGCCCTCCGGGCCACCCACGAGGAAGAAGTTCTTCATACCACTGGATGAGGATGAGGCCCCTACTGCGGGGGTAGGACAGAGGAGGAGATGGGGAGAAACGCTGGCAGACTGGGGTGGGGGGGTGTGGATTGAGAGGAAGGGGCCTCCAAGGTCCATGGTGTGGTTTAGGAAATGTTGTGGCCTGGGTCACCTTGGGAAAACAGTCCTTTGCTCTCCGCGAGTCTGCTTCCCTATCTGTAAGATGTCATGGTGGTTCCAAGACAGGGCTCTGGCAGAGGCTGCAGACGCAAGCAGCGCGTGGCTTTGGGTTGTGTTTTATGTGGCCAGCCCCCTGGTTTGCAAAGGATGAATTTATTGCTGACATTGGAGAATTGGAAGGCCTTGCAACTAAAAGGAAAAGTCGGCACCTTTGACATCTCTTGGTAAATTGAAGGATCTGACCACGCCGACATCACGTTCCCGCAGGAAAACAATTGGCTGGTGCTGAGTACTGGCCGCTCCGTGTGCGCTAGGAAGAAAAAGTGGGCTAAGGGTACAGGGAGTGATGGGGGAGAGGCGCTCCCTTAGGTCAAGGGACTGCCTCTCTGAGGAGGTGACATCTTGGCAGTGATGTGAAGGAGGTGAAGGAGTGAACTGTGTGGCAACCTCTGGGGCAGAGGGGCAACAGCCGATGCAAAGGCCCAGGATCAGAGGGAGCCTGACGGATTTGAGGGCAGCAAGAAGGCCAGTGGGGCTGGAATTGAGAAAGGAAAGGGAAGGAGCTGGGAGGTGAGACGGGGAGCAGGGACAGATCTTCTAGAGCCTTGTGGGCTGTGGCGACAGCTTTGGCTTTTACTCTGAGGGGGGAGCCACCAGGGTCTCTGAGCAGAGGGACGTGAAATGACCGTGAACAGAACAGACCTCGGGGAGTAAGGATGTAGGCGGGGAGCTGGTGAGGAGGTGCACTGGTCCAAGGGAGAGAAGTTGGTGGCTGGGACCAGTATAGCGGCTGAGGAGCAGGGAGGAGTGGCTAGATTCAGATTTTGACACTCCTCCCCTTCCCCCACAGTTCAAGCCCTTATTCAAGTCCACGCGGAGCCTTCCCACCATGGAGACCTCAGCCCAGGCCGCCCCTCAGACCTATGCCGAGTATGCCATCTCGGGACCTCCAGGAGGGGCTGGGGCTCCACACCCCACGGGGCCAGAACCCCTGGCAGGAGAGACCCCCAACCAGGCCCCCAAACCGGGGACAAAATCCAGCAGCATCATTGTGAGCCCCCGGCAGGTGAGGAGGGGAAGGAGTAGTGGGGCTTTGAGCTTTCTGGTGGGAAACACGGGTACGGGGGTGGCACTCAGGTGGGCAGTGGAAGGAAGTCAGAGCTCTTGCCATTGCGCTCTGGGCGACGCGAATTCTTTCATTCATCCATCCAACTACCGGGTGTGGGTTGAGGTTGTGCCGTGTCTATTCTTTTGTTAAAACAAAAATACCGTAGACTGCGTCGTTTAAACAGCAGACTTTTATTTCTCACACTTCTGGGGGGTGGGAAGTCCAAGGTCAAGGCGCTGGCCAATTCAGTGTCCAGGAAGGACCCGCCTCCTGGTTCATAGACTGCTGTCTACTTCCTGCGTCCTCACCTGGGTGAAGGAGCTCTCTCGGGTCCCTTTTGTGAGGACTAATCCCATTCATGGAGGTTCTACCCTCCTGACCTCATCGCCGCTCCTCACCTCCCGCCTCCTTTTTTTTTTTTTTTTTTAAGTTTATGTTTTTATTTTGAGAGAGACAGAAACAGCGTGAGTGGGGGAGGGGGAGAGAGCGAATCCCAAGCAGGCTCCATGCTGCCAGCCCGGATCCCGATGTGGGGCTCGAACTCACAACACTGTGAGATCACGACCCGAGCCAAAACCAAGAGTTGGACACTTAACCGACTCTGCCCAACCCACACCCCACCGTGGAGCAGGTCCTACCCTCTTTATTAAAAGCACATTCCACCTCATTTAAGAATGACTCGTTCATCCCCGAGATGGTTTTGTGTAACGTCTGCGTCCCCCACAAGGCAGGGATCTTTGTCTGTCTTGGTCCCTGCTGTATCATAGCACTTAGACACACAGTAGGCGCTCAATAAATACTGCTCGGATGGGTTAGAGGCTGACTTGCTCAGAGAATCTCGATTTTGGGCTACAGGGTGTGTTCAGAGTGGAGTGAGAGCCCGGAGCCTGTCCAGCAGATGCCTGACTGTTGGGGGTGGGGGTCACAGGCCACGTGGGCTTTCCTCTCAGATCACTGGGGGCCATGGTGGGGTTAAGAGCAGGCCAAGGGGCAGGTTTGTGCTTCAGGAAGCACTGGTTTCTGTTCGGAGGTCAGGAGGGGGCCCTACTGGGGCAGGCGACCAGGAGGAGGCAGGGTAGGGGCCTGGGTATGGGCTATGGCAGTGCAGGGGGAGACATTGATGGGGATGTCATCCTGGGGGTGCCCGGGTGGCCCATTCAGCTAAGCATTCGACTCTTGATTTCGGCTCAGGTCACGATCTCAGAGTCCGTGAGATTGAGCCTTGTGTCAGGCTCTGCGCTGACAGTGCAGAGCCTGCTTGGAGTTCCCTCTCTCTCTCACTCTCTCTCTCTCAAAATAAGTAAATAAACTTAAAAAAAAAAATCCTGGAAGGTAGACGTCCCCCCTGGAGGAGAGGGATGTGTCCGTGACTAGGCTTGGGTCTCTGGATGATGGGCCTGTCCCTGAGATGAGGGGAGGAGGGGCAGGTGCGGGAGCTGGTGCTGAAGGCACTTGGGATGCAGTGAGACGGACATCCTGGGGGGAGTGCCCAGCAACCCCAGGGCACACACGTGGGGCTGGGGGAGAGGACTGAGCCGGAGAGATAGACTCAGGGACTTCTAGTTAAGGCCCAGGTCTGGGGGAGAGGTCTGGGTCAAAGCCAGAGCACCCAAGGGCATTCCCCGCTGAGGAGGTGGACTCTGGAGGGAGGGGAACAGGCACAGGCAGGATGGGGGATGGGGCGGTGTCGACACAGGTAGGGGGAGGGGAGCCCTGGGGCTGGCAGTGGTCCCAGGGCCCTCCCTGTTAATGGCTTCGGCCCTTCCCTCCCCAGAGGGGCAACCCCGTGCTGAAGTTTGTGCGTAATGTGCCCTGGGAGTTTGGTGACGTGCTTCCCGACTATGTGCTGGGCCAGAGCACCTGTGCCCTTTTCCTCAGGTGAGCTCTGAGGGGGCTGCCCCACCTTCCTGAAGGCCTGCGAGGCTGTGCTCCCATGTTTGGGACCATTGGGTGGGAGACCTTGGGGTGTGGCCCTGTCAGCTCTGGGCCTAGTGACCTGGAGGGGAGGAAGAGGTCTTCTCCTGGAGGTGCCCAGAGTGACGAGAGTGGCAGGCCCAGACACTGGTTCTGAGGGAGGACGGGCTGGGCGCCTGGAGTCCTGGGTCTGAGCAGGTTGGGGGTAGGGTCCCTCAGGTCCCAGACATCCAGGGTGAGTTGATGGGAGCCAGGATTTCACCAGCCTGTACCGCAGTTAAGCAAGTTCCCTCTCCATTCCCGGGCGCCCCTCTGCACACAGAGCTAGATGGGGCAAGTGAACCTTCTAAGTTCCTGTCCTCCCTGCAAGGTACGAGAGCTGGTGGCTGCTGGACAGAGATGTCCCCTAGTTCCCTGGGTGGAGAAGCCACCCCAGCCCCTCCCTGCCAGTGCCTTCTGAGGCTAAAGCAGACAGTCCCTGGGATAGGCCTGCTTCCCAAGACCAGCTGCGCTTTGTCCCCCAGTCCACACCCTCTAGGCGCTTGTCTCCTGTCCTTTACCCGAAGCCCAAGTCTCTTCCCTTCCCCAGTGAGGAACCTGGGGTCCATCCCTCCAGGGAAGCCAGAGCCAGGCAGCCCTTTCCGCCAACCCCGCCATCGCCTTCCTTGATGGGTGACCTGAGGCAAGTCACTTAACTTCTCTGAGCCTCAGGTCCCGGTGTCGCCCGCGCCCTCTGCATTCCAGTGAGAGTAAAGAAGGGCTCCCAGGGTCTCGGGGAGAGCGAGACCTCCCAATCCCTCCCTCTCCCCTGCCCCCCAGCCTCCGCTACCACAACCTCCACCCGGACTACATCCACGGGCGGCTGCAGAGCCTGGGGAAGAGCTTCGCCCTGCGGGTCCTGCTCGTCCAGGTGGACGTGGTAAGCAGGGGTCACTTCCCCCCCGGCCTCGTGGTCCTCATCTGTCGGGCCTCGCAGCAGCCAAGTGGATTGTTGAATCCCAAGAGAAGGTGCAAGGTGAACCATTTTTACATCGGACATTAACACCCTGTGTTGGCAAGGGGGCGCGAGGGTAAAATCCTGTCTCCTCCTTCCCCACACCACTTCCGCTGGTCCCAGCCCTCTGCCACCTGAGCGTGTTTTGAAGCTATGTCATCCTACCTTCACAGCCTGGCCCGCCTGGGTCTCTGCCCCAGCCTCTTCTCTCGTCTCAGGGCCTCCAGCCCCAACCGCTTCCATCCTCACAGCAGCCGGCGGTGGGGGGGGGGGGGGGTTCCTAAAGCACAGATCTGATGTCCAGACCCCTCCATGGCTCCCCAGTGCCTCACTATGGCCCGTGAGGCCATGTGACCAGACCCCTGCCCTGCTCTCTGGGTTCATTTCCCAGCTTCCATGTGGTCGCCCTTTCTTTTACGTTCTCCATCACATTCCGTGTGAATTGCAATTCCTCAAGTCCTTTTTCCCCCCTCCTGTCTTCCCTATGTTTAAAATTTCCTTTTCGTTCTCCTTTGCGTCCTTCACTCCTCCTCCTCCTCCTCCTTCAGGTCTCAGTTCAGATGTCCCCTCTTCCAGGAAGCTCTCCCTGATTCCCGGGGCAGGTCAGGTATCCGCTCCTGCTCTCCCATCCCAATCCTGGCCACTCTGGGTCATCACTGTATGGGGACAGTTTGATCTCCCTCATCAGACTGTGAGCCCCAGGGGGCAGAGCCCGGGCTCTCTTGGTAACTGTGTGTTACCAGCATTGCCCAGCACAGGTGGGCACCCAGTCAGAGCCTAGGGAGTGCCAGTTAAGTGGAAGGCTCTTGGCATCCTACCGTGGCATAATCTGCTGTGGTTTTCAAGAGTATAATTCCTTGTTTACTACCAGATTTCCCATTCTGATTTTCTTTTCCACCCAGAAAGATCCACAGCAGGCCCTCAAGGAGCTGGCTAAGATGTGCATCCTGGCTGACTGCACCCTGGTCCTTGCCTGGAGGTGAGACCGAGGCTTCCCCGCCCAGGTCAGGCTCTATCCTAAGAGTTGGTCCACCCTTCTGCCCCCCAGCCCTTTCCTTCTGCCATGAGCTCCCCGTGTGAGCCTGGTCCCGGCACTGCCTCTCTCTCGGCCTCAATTTCTGCATCTTTAAAATAGGATCTTAATATTTGTGTTCTAGGGCTATAGTCACAAAAGCAGGTGATCTAGATCAAATTGCCAGGGCCATACTGCTTCCTTACGAATCAGACCTAAAATCTGTCTGAATAATTAATTCCACATCTAGGTTTCTAAAGACTATTTAAATTTTTCTTTTAATGTTTATTTAATTTTGAGAGAGTGAGAGCTAGAGTACGAGCAGGGAAGGGGCAGAGAGAGAGGGAGACACAGAATCTGAAGCAGGTTCCAGGCTCCAAGCTGTCAGCACAGAGCCCGATGCGGGGCTCGAACCCATGAGCCTTGAGGTCATGACCTGAGCTGAAGTCAGATGCTTAACTGACTGAGCCACCCAGGCGCCCCTCTAAAGACTATTTAGATTGGCTAATTTCCAGTTGGAAAAAAAGACATACCTTCCTCACCCCATAAGAAAAAAAAATTAAATCCTGAGAAATTATTGACATTAAAAAAAAAAAGGTGTTAGAAGAAATCTTTTTTTTTAAGTAATTAGGCTCATTATGTTTTTTTTACATTTATTTATTTATTTTGAGAAAGAGAGAGAGGAGGAGGGCCAGAGAGAGAGGGAAAGAGAGGGAATCCCAAGCTGGGCTCTATGCTGGAGCTGACACACCAGGGCTCAGCTCACAAACTGTGAGATCATGATTTGAGCTTGAATCAAGAGTCGGATGCCTAATCAGCTGAGCCACTCAGGTGCCCTAGAAGAAATCTTATAGGGGAATATATATCTAGTTTTTAATGTTTATTTTATTTTTGAGAGAGAGAGAGATAGTGTGAATGGGGGGAGGGGCAGACAGAGAGAGGGACAGAGGATCTGAAGGGGGCTCCTTGCTGAAAGCGGAGAACCTGTTGTAGCCCTTGAACCCACAAGCCACGAGATCATGACCTGAGCTGAAGTCAGACACTTAACCGACTGAGCCACCCAGGTTCCCCAGGAGAATATTTTTTATTTTTATTTTTGATTTATTAAAAAAAATTTTTTTTAATGATTATTTATTTTTGAGAGAGAGAGAGAGAGAGAGCACACACAAGTGGGGGAGGGGTAGAGAGAGAAAGAGACACAGAATCCAAAGCAGGCTCCAAGCTCTGAGCTGTCAGCACAGAGCCCAACACGGGGCTCAAACCCATGAACTTTGAGATCATGACCTGAACTAAGTCTGACATTTAACTGACTGAACCATCCAGGCACCCCAGGAGAATATTTGTTACAATCTTGGGGTAGGAAAAGTCTTCCAAAGCAAGACCCAGAACCCCAAAGCCATAAAGAAAAAGGTTGGCTGATTTGAGAAAATTAAAATTTTAAAACTTCTAGGTGGTAAGACATACTGTAAATAAAGTTGAAAGACAAGTGACAAATTACCAAAAAGTATTTGCTGTGTATATATTGCATATATATATATACACACACACACACGTATATATATACATATATATATATACGTACATATAAATAGAAAATACTTAACGTCTCTAATTTATGTATGTATATATAAGTTATATTTATACAGTGCAAATACATTTAAATGTTTATATTCATATGCATATATTTGAACATGTTTATTATATATTTATATATGTAAAGAACTTCCCACAAGTCAATAAGAACCCAAATAAGAGTTTAATGCAGGTTGCCAAAACACATGAAAAAAATATCAACCATATGGTTTATCAAGAAAAAAGCACATTTTAAAAAACGAGGTGCTGGGGCGTCTGGGTGGCTCAGTTGGTTAAGCGTCTGACTTTGGCTCAGATTGTGATCTGGCAGTTCCTGAGTTCCAGCCCCGTGTGGGGCTCTCTGCTGTCCATGCAGAGGCTACTTTGGATCCTCTGTCTCCCTCTCTCTCTGCCCCTCCCCTGCTTGTGCTCTCTCTCTCAAAAATGAGAAACATTCAGGGGCGCCTGGGTAGCTCAGTTGGTTAAGCGTCTGGCTTTGGCTCAGGTCATGATCTCGTGGTTCGAGAGTTCAAACCCCACATCAGGCTCTGTGCTGACAGCTCGGAGCCTGGAGCCTGCTTCAGAGTCTGTCTCTGTCTCTCTCTGTCCCTCCCCCGCTTGCACATTGTCTGTCTCTCTCTCTCAAATATAAATAAACATTTTAAAAAAATGAATAAACATTAAAAAAAAAAAACAACAAAGCGAGGTGCCCTAAATTTGGTGCAAGTCTCTCGGATGGGTAGTATGAAACGGGCACCCGCATATTTGCTTGGCAGGAGACTTGACGGGCTATTGAAACAGAAAATAGACACCACTCTTCGACACAGAAACTCCTGCACTAGGATAGTCCCCGCTCGTGCGTGCTCACGCGTGTCCGAAGTGACATGGGCCATCACTGTAGCATCAGTGGGTGAGAACCAGAGTTGCAGAAGCGAACGGCCTCGTATTTTTATTTATATAAAGAAGGGAGGAAGAAAATGAGCTGTGTTGATGAACAGACTCGTATGTGGATAAACGGAAAGGGCTCCAGAGGCTCCAGAGGCTCCAGGCCCTGGACAGTGCTGACCTCTGGGGACCGTATGAGGCATAGATGTGGATGAGAGTGAGGCTGTTGTCTTCTGCTTCTTTTTGTTCTGAATATATACACTGGTTAAACTTTCTTGTGTTAAATAGATGGCACATTCACGTAGTTCACAGAGGAGAAGCGACATGAAAATGGTACATGTGTGCATACGTCTAGTCGTACATATATATGGTACATACACACGGTGTATATACATGTGGCAGTGTAGACATATGGTTATATGTAGATGCTGTTCTGTGCCTTACGTGGTCGTGTCCTTACCTGGAGATCTCTTTCTCTCTCTCTCTTTTTTTTTTTTTTTTTTTTAGTTTATTATTTTGAGAGAGAGAGAGACACAAGCAGGGAAGAAGCAGAGAGGGAGACAGAGAGAGAGAGAGAGAGAGAGAGAGAGAGAGAGAGAAGCCCAAGTAGGCACAATGCAGGACTTAACCTCACAAACTGTGAGATCATGACCTGATCCCACCGGAGCCTAGAGTCAGATGCTTAACCAGCTGAGCCACTCCAGGCGCCCCTTTAAAAAAACTTTTTTTTTTTTTAAGTTTATTTATTTATTTAGAGAGAGTGCTCAAGAGTGTGAGCGGGGGACGGGCAGAGAGCTAGAGGGAGAGAGAATCCCAAGCAGGCTCTCCGTTGTCAGCACAGAGCCCAACGCAGGGTGTTCATATTTTTAAAAATACTAATTTTTTAGAGCATTAAAAAAAATTTTTTTTAATTTTTTTTATTACATTTATTTAGTTTTGAGAGACAGAGTGAGACAAGGTGAGAGTGGGGGAGGGGCAGAGAGAGAAGGAGACACAGAACCTGAAGCAGGCTCCAGGCTCTGAGCTGTCAGCACAGAGCCCAACACGGGGCTCAAACCCACAAACTGTGAGATCATGACCTGAGCCAAAGTTGGACGCCTAACCAACTTAGCCACCCAAGTGCCCTCCAAATTTTTTTTCTTAATGTTTATTTATTTTTGAGAGAGACAGAGCATGAGTGGGGAGGGGCAGAGAGAGAGAGGGAGACACAGAACTTAAAGCAGGCTTCAGGCTCTGAGCTGTCAGGACAGAGCTTGACGCGGGGCCTGCACCCACGGACTGGACAATGAGATCATGAGCTGAGCTGAAGTCAGTTGCTTAACTGACTGAGCCACCCAGGTGTCCCTAGGGCAGTTTTTAAGTTTATAAGGAATATCAGGAATCACAAAGAATTACCAAATACCTCTTCTCTCCCTGCATGTGGTTTCTCCTATTACTTTTCTCTTGTATTTTTTTATTTCTTTTTTTAATTTTAATTTTTTTAAAGAAATACAGCAGTCTTTAACAAAAAAATTTTTTTTAACATTTACTTATTTTTGAGACCGAGAGGCAGCTTGAGTGGGCGAGGGGCAGAGAGAGAGGGAGACACAGAATCGGAAGCTGGCTCCAGGCTCTGAGCTGTCAGCACAGAGCCTGATGCGCGGCTTGAACCCCTGAATCATGAGGACATGACCTGAGCTGAAGTCTGATGCTTAACCGATTGAGCCACGCAGGCACCCCTAAAAAAGTTTTTTTAACATTTATTTATTTTTGAGAGACAGTGCGAGCAGGGAAGGGGCAGAAAGAGGAGACACAGAATCTGAAGCGGGTTCCAGGCTCTGAGCTGTCAGTGCAGGGCTTGAACTCACGAACCGTGAGATTATGACCTGTGCAGAAATCAGGAGTCGGACGCTTAACCAAAAGTAGGCTCCATGCCCAGCGTGGTGTTTGAACTCAGGACCCCAAGATCAAAGGTCGAGTGCTGTATGACTGAGCCAGCCAGGTGTCCCTATGTATTGTATTAATTAGTGTGGTACATTCGTTACAACCGATGAACCAGTGTTGATATGTTACTATTACTATTGACGAAAGCCCATAGTCTATGTTAGGGTTTGCTGTTTTATTTTTATTTTTAAAAAAATTTTTTGAATGTTTTTATTAATTTATTTTTGAGACAGAGACAGAGCATGAGCAGGGGAGGGACAGAGAGGGAAACACAGAATCGGAAGCAGGCTCCAGGCTTTGAGCTGTCAGCACAGAGCCTGACATGGGACTCGAACTCACGGAGCGTGAGATCATGACCTGTTGCTCTCTGTTTTATATTCTGAGTCTTGACAAAGGTATGATAATGTGTCCATAAATTCTGTATCACACAGAATAGTTGCACTGCCCTAAAATTTCCCCTGTGATCCACTTATTCATCCCTTCCACCCCCAAACTCCTCATCTTTTCACAGTCTGCTTAGTTTTGCCTTTTCCAGGATATCATATAGTTGGAATCATACAATCTGTAGTAGAAATAGAAAAACCCACGATTCTCCTTGTGTGTAGGAAAAAAAATGCCAGTGCTTCCCTAATGTGGGTCTTTATCCTGTGTGTGTGTGTGTGTGTGTGTGTGTGTTTAATCTTTATTCATTTTTGAGAGAGAAGAGAGAGGGAGAACAAGTGGGGGAGGGCAGAGAGAGAGAGAGAGAGAGACAGAGAGACAGAGAGACAGAGGATCCAAAGCAGGCTCTGTGCTCACAGTACAGGGCTGTGTGGGGCTCGAACTCACAAACCGTGAGATCAGGACCTGAGCCCAAGTCAGACCACCAGATGCGCCAAAGTTTTTCCCACACCAAGCAAGTCTCTGCAGCACCAGCTGGGCGTCCTACCATTTAACTCACTTCTGACACTACCTGGGGATGGCCTCAGGTCCCACAGGTGAAGGGGCTCAGTCCAACACTGCCCCCCCCACTTCAGACACCAGTCATAAACCCCGCTTGTACTTCTGACCGTCCCGCTCCCAGTGACTCCCTGAGAGGCTCAGAGCTCAGGGAAGCACATTTTCCGGTTTAATAAAGGGTATGATGTTAAGAGAATCAACAGCAAGACGATGAGAGACGTAGGGCGAGAGGTCTGGGAGGGTCCTGTGTGCAGGAGTTTGTCCCCGTGGAATTGGGGTGTATCACTTCCCAGTGGCTGCCCTTCTGGAAGCTCTGAGTCCCCTAGTACTGGGATTTTATGGAGTCTTCCTTACATGGACCCAGTTGAGTATTAGCTCCATTTCCAGCCCCCATCCAGGAGCCCACCCAGAGTCATCTCTGTAGGACAAAACAGTTAGCAGTATTCTTTTAACCTCCCTCCGTGCCTTCTTGTAATTTGGTAGCTTACTCTTCTTTAAAAAAAAAAAAAAAATTTTTTTTTAAATTTTTTTTTTTTCAACGTTTTTATTTATTTATGGGACAGACAGAGACAGAGCATGAACGGGGGAGGGGCAGAGAGAGAGGGAGACACAGAATCGGAAACAGGCTCCAGGCTCCGAGCCATCAGCCCAGAGCCTGACGCGGGGCTCGAACTCACGGACCGCGAGATCGTGACCTGGCTGAAGTCGGACGCTTAACCGACTGCGCCACCCAGGCGCCCCAAAAAAAATTTTTTTTAATATTCGTCTATTTTTGACAGACAGAGCATGAGTGGGGAGGGGCAGAGAGAGAGGCAGACACAGAATCCGAAGCAGGCTCCAGGCTCCGAGCTGTCGGCACAGAGCCCGACACGGGGCTCGAACCCACAAACCATGAGATCATGATCTGAGAGGAAGTCAGACACTTAACCGACTGAGCCACCCAGGCGCCGTGGTAGCTCAGTCTTCTTATTGCTGAATAATATCCCATTGTCCAGATGCACATTCTTTCCCAGCTGTGTAATACTCCATCGTGGAGATAGGCCAGGTCATGACCTTGAACTCATGACCCCAAGAGATCAAGAGTTGCATAGTTTACCGACCAGGCTCTTGGGCAAGTGACTCAACCCCCCGCTGGTCTCTTTCCCTCTCTGTGTATAATGGTTTGAAAATAATAATTGCCTTAGAGGATCCTTCTCTGGAAGCTTCTGAACACGGTGAGTTAGAACAGTGCGTCGGCCCCCGGAAGGGGAATGTTTCCTATGTCTTTACATCCAAATTATGGGATATTTTGCAACCATCCCATAAAAGGGGTCAAGCTCTTTCTGCTGACATGGGAAGACATCCTGCTGAGAACTGCAGAGGGCAAAAATGAAAGCAGATTGTGCCCTGAACAAATTAAGAACCGGAAGGATAATCCTGCTGCAGTGAGGGGAGAGCCACAAAGCCCACGTCACGGGGAAAAAACAGTATTAGAAAAATGAAGGTTTCTTTCAGGAATATGGACCAACACTTGATCAGCAAAGATGGCTTATTAGCTGGGATTTGAAGGCTAACAGAAAATGCCTCGGCACAGGTCCTTCCTTTACTTGGACTCAACTCCCTAGTCTCAAGTTCAAAGAACAAAAAAGGCCAGCTTTCTCCCAGTGCTGATAAACCTGGGTTACTTTATTCCGCACACATACAAACCCTTTTTAAGATTCGGTTGTCCCACCCACCTTTGAAACTGTTCATTACATGTCAAAAAAAAAAAAAGAAAAGAAAAAACCTCAGTGCCTGACGTGAAAATTAATGGCGATTATTAAATCAGGTTAGTTGCTATAAAAGCTTCAGCAGTCGGCTCACCCCGCAGCCTTTCTCTTGAAAGTGCGCTATATTAAAAATCTTCAGTGGGAACTGAATTGCATCCTGAGTTTTGTCTTCCTGCGGCCGGGAAAATAGTAACAGTGTTTCTGGTTTTTCTCCCGCCCCGGCTCCACGGCGGCGCTGACTTCCCTTCCAGAATAGCTCACATTTCTTAAACGGGCTCTAAGTGCCAGGCACGGTTCTGAGCGCTTGGGAGCGATGACGCGTGTAATTGTCACAATTCCGCTATCCACGCCACTCTGCAGATGAGGACACTGAGGCCCAGAGAGAGAAAATCCCTGGCCCTGGGGTCACGCAGGTGGGAAGGGCGAACCTGAGCCCAACAACTCGTCAGGCTCCCAAGCTCTGTCCCTTTGCCAGCAAAGATGTGTAAAGATGTGCCTGGCCGGGGCTACCGCCAGGGACCTTTTCGGGGAGGAAAGTTCAGTTTGCTCTGTATTCGAGTTTGGAACTTTTAGCATCGGCACTGACGACTACTAGGGCGATGAAATGAATCTAAAACATGAGCACTGCCCTCGCCACACTGCCTGACCCGAATGTTCTCACCCCAGCCCTGAGGAGGCCGGGCGGTACCTGGAGACCTACAAGGCCTATGAGCAGAAGCCGGCGGACCTCCTGATGGAGAAGCTGGAACAGGACTTTGTCGCCCGGGTGAGGCCACTACACCTCCCTGCCTGCCTCCCCCCCCCCCCCGCCCCTGGCCCCTCCCTGCTGCTGGAATCCTACCTCTCCTCCCCAGTCTCCCCCTCAGTTCATCACCTTTCTCTTCCTAAGCACAAACTTGTTTCTGTCCTCCCCAGCTCAGAATCCTCCCATGGCTCCCCAGTACCCTCAGGGAATACCTGGCCTTCTCACCACACCCTACAAGGCCCTGCCTATTCCGCCCAGCAGCTCTGTCCACCCCTGACCTTGCATGCATTCTGGCCAGGCTGGCTGGCTTAGTCCCTCCTGTGTCCCCAGCACCACCCAGCACTTAGTGGGTGCTCAGGGAGTATTTACCGAATGAAGCATTTAACCTGAGCTCCAACGCCTGAGTAATGGTGGATGTCCACCACCACTCCCGAGGCGGGTACTGTTAGGACCCCCGTTTGCCTGAAAAGAAAGTCCAGAGGTCAATTCCCTTGCCCAGCCCTCATAGGGAGCAAGCAGTGGGGCCTGGTTTTGAACACAGATCTGACTCCAGAGCCTATGGTCTACCCTGGGCAGAACCAACTCAAGAGAAATGGCATTTATCTTCTCATGATGTGACCAATATTCTCTCAGCTAGTGGGGGACCCACTCTGAGATGAACTTTTAATCAGCCAAAAGGGGGGGGGCATTTATTGAACACCTCCTGCATGCGGGGCAGTCTGGGGACACAGTGGTGACCCAGTGCTCAGATCGCTCTCATTTCTTCTCGTGCCGCACCTCTGCCTCCTCCCCTCCCTTCCAGGTGACTGAATGCCTGACCACCGTGAAGTCTGTCAATAAAACTGACAGCCAGACCCTCCTAACTACTTTTGGGGTAAGGAATGGTTCCTAGTCCTGATGGCATTTCTGCCCCCTTGCTTTTTCAAGGAATGTCCCCCCCCCCCCCCCCCCCCCCCCCGCCCTCCCACAGGACCTCACCTCCTTCCAGGGAGATCTTAGACCCCCGATGAGCTGGGGCAGGGTAGTTTTGTGCTCCCCATCTCTGACCCTCACCTTCCACCTTCCTCAGTCTCTGGAACAGCTCATAGCTGCGTCCCGAGAAGATCTGGCTTTGTGCCCGGGCCTGGGGCCCCAAAAGGTAAGAACTGTGGGAATGGGCTTGAGGGGTCGGGGACAGGAGGGAGCACTACATGGATGGCACCTCAGATCCCAAAGTTCTAAGGCTGTGGAAGGCCCACAGTGCTTCTCCTACAGTTGGGGAGAACCGAGGCCCAGAGAGGGTGGGGACCAGCCCTAACTCACCTAGGCAGCCTGGGACAGAATCAAGATCAGGATGTTTCTCTCCCAGCCCCCAGAGTCCCCTCCGAGCCGAAACCGAAAGAACCAAAGCCCACTCTGGATGCAGCAAGCAGATGGCTCATTTAATGACCAGTTCCTTGTTTCTTTCTTGCTCTCACGCAGGCCCGGAGGCTGTTTGATGTCCTACACGAGCCCTTCTTGAAAGTGCCCCGATGACCCCAGCCGCCAGAGAGGCCCTCGTTGTAACAATAAAGCATTTTCCAGGCTCGGGCTGCTTCTGGTGCGGCGGCGCCGTCATCGGGAAGGGGTTCTCTGTCCTCGCTCTCTGCTGGCCCAGGCGGTCACCTCCAGCTTTTCTTTTCGTTTCTTCCCCTTTCTTTTCCTTTCTCTTTCTTTTTTTTGTGTTTTAAAGTGTATTTATTTTGAGGGAGAGGAGACAGAGAACCCCAAGCAGGCTCCACACTGTCGGCGCACAGCCTGATGCGGCGCTCGATCTCCTGAAACGCGAGATCGTGACCTGAGCGGAAATCAAGAGTCTCAACCGACTGAGCCGCCCGGGCGCCCCTCCAGCTTTTCTTGACCACAGTCAGTTTCCCTGGAGGAGGCTACACAGGATCCGGCTGCAGCCTCTTCGACTTCTTCTCCCGGCCTGTGGAAGCCACCTCCCCAGGCTCTGGACTCCGCGGCGGCTCTGGCATCTCCTCCCGGGGTGCTGCCTCTGGCACCCCGCTTTCCCGGCCCCGTTTCTTCTTCTTCTTCTTCTTCTTAGCAGATGCTGGATCTGCCCCTGCCTCAGGTTCACGCTCTTCCGGAAGCTCAGGCTCCATCGGCTCACCCTGTGGGTCCGTTACCTCAGTCCTCGGCTCAGTTGCTCTGAGCCCCCGTTCTTTCTTCTTCTTCTTGGTGGATGCCCGACCCTCAAGGTCACCTGGCAACTCAGGCTCCACCGGAGGCTCCACTGCCTCTGCCCCTGGCTCCACCGTCTCGTCTTGCCGGTTTTCTTTCTTCCTCCTCTTTTTGGTGGGCGTTAGAGCTGCCTCAGCCTGAAGCTCAACTTCTTGTGGTGGTTCGGGCTCTATCATCTCCCCTGGGAGTTCCAGAGGCCTCCTCTCCAGCTCTAGAGCCTCATCAGTCCCCGGCTCCATCATGACTTTGTGCCCCTTTTCTTTTTTCTTCTTCTTCTTCTTCGAAGATGGCAGTGGGACGGCTTCCTCCTGTGGCTCCTCCTCCGACTGAGGCTGAGACTCAATCAGCATCCTTTCCCCAGACGGCCTCTCTTCTGTCCCCTTCAGCCTCTTCCTCTTCCTGGTGGTGGGTGACGGGAACAGCGCTTCCAGAGGCTCCAGCATCTCGGCCGCAGGTTCGGCTGTCACCAGCTCCGTCACCTCGAGTTCTGGCGGCTCCTGCTTTTTCTTCTTCTTCTTCGCCACATCCGGGGACCCCAAAGCTGTGTCCCCCGCCAGGGCCCCCAGCCCATTCACTGCCTCCCGGGGAGCTGGGGCCTCTGGTATTTGCCTCTTCTTTTTCTTCTTTTTTGAGGCGGGTGACTTCAGTGCCAAGGCTGACCCAGGCCCTGTTACCGGTAGGCTGCCTCCAAAGGCACAGAACCGGGGCCTCAGGTCAGGGGGGATCTGTGGCGGGGGGCTTGTTGGAATAGGCTGCAGCAGGGTCCCTGGTGGGGATTCCTGGGAACCCTCAAAGATCCTCAGGCTGCCCTGGGGGGCTGGGGCACAGGTGAGTCCCCCCCCTGCCGCCACGGAGGGAGCCAGCAGGATTGCTCCTCCAGCCTGGGGACCGCTGCTTCTGAGGACCCGGTAGCGGTGCCGCTTGCCTGCCAACTTGCCCTTCACAATCTGGGAGCCAGAGAGAGGCACTAGCCGCCCGTTGAGGCTGCAAGGAGAAAGGGGAAGGCAGGAGCTCCATCAGATTCTTTCCGTGAAACGGGGGGGGAAAGAGCTGAAAACCGCGTTTCTGGATGCCCAAGAAAAGCCCCTCTAAACTTCCCCCAAGTTCATCCACTAGGATGGAGCATATTCCCAGGAGGTGGCCTGGGACCACTCACCAGTCCGGGGCGAAGTCTACAGGGGCCTGGATAAGCCACAGTTCCGTATCTGGGTCTGTTAACACTTCCAAAGAGAAACGGGTGGGCTCTGAGGTTGGGGACGTCGCGGTAAAGTTGGGGGGGCAAGAGAACTGAGCAGCACCTGCAGAAGGGGAAATGGAGGTCTGCTGACACTTCCCGTGAATCCAATTCTCTACGGGACCCACTGGCCCCAGCCTCTTGAGCGCCTCAACCCCTCACCCGGTCTGTTCTCTGCCTGCTCCCCGGAGGCATCCCTGTCTCCACCGATCCAAGGTAGTTTCCCCCACCCCATACGCTCCCTCGGTCTGAAGTCCCTTCCTCGCGGGCGACACACTCTCCACAGGTCCTGTCTCGAGGATGTCCCTTTTTCCGTCCGAACGCTCCTGGGCGCCCCGTTCTCCTCCCGGCAGCCAACTCTCTGCACCCCGTCGTCCCGCCCTGATGCAACTCACCGCCGGACGGGGTCCCCGCCATCCCGGGACCCGTGCCTCCCTCAGACCCAGCCGCCGGAGCCTCAGGGGCTCCGTGGACGACCACGTGGAACCAGAGGGGCGGGGCCTCGCCCGGGAGCGCCCATGTGGCGCGGGAGCGCGGGGGTGTCGCTCGGAGTACGCTCTCTCTACGAGCAGAACTGGGGGGAGTTTCCGCTTGCGCAGAGCAGACAGCCGAGGAAGACGTTCTTTTCCCGAAAATCTGCTCCCGAAAACAGCTGCTTGGCTCCTGGGCGGGAGTTAGCGCCTCATCAGGTCTCGGCGCATATCCCCCTCCATGTCTCGGACTTTAATTGCGCCAACGTCGCCTTAAAGGGGCAGCCACATTGGTAGCTTCTAACTCTTAAAGAGACAGGAAGGTCGATTGGTCTGAGATTCTTAAAGAGACAGGTAAGAGTGTAGGTTGGCAGGGCTGTGCTTTCAGTGTCACAATCCCTTCTTGGGAGGCCCAGATGCCTGGGAAATTCGGAACTTGAGTGGGACAGGTGGGAAAATGGAGAAATGGTGTAATTCCTCCGGAGGGCGTTGAAGTACCAGCCAGGGGCGGGGCTTCTGGACTCCTAGGGCGCGGGAAACCTAGAGGGAGGAGCCTGTGGGCTCCGAGGCGGGGCTTCCAGACGAGCTAATCACGCGTGGGGCGGTGCGGACTAAAGGGCAGGGTTTGTGGATCAAATGAGACATATAGATGCCCCCGAGAATTTAGTCTAGTGCGTGGGGGACCCTCCTGTAAGGCTTTGAGGAAGAGAGAGGGAGTAGAAGGCTTGAGCAGCGCCCTTTCTCTGCCGGGGGGCGCGTGTAAACAGCGGCACGCGGCCGCGGATTTGGGGGTCGCATCCACGCCCCTTTGCACAGGGACCACACCGCTTGGGGCGGCGGGCGGAGCCGCGGGACGGCGGCTAGACAGGGTGACCCGACTGCATTCCTGGCCAGTGTGTCAGAGCCACTTCCCGCCCCCTCTGCCGTGATTTCGGATCCTATTCCACAATTGGGGCGTCCCTCCTTCTCTGGGTGTGAGCGGCTTCTCAGAGCGGAGGGAGGGTCAGGGGAAGGGAACGCGTTCCCTCAGCCCGGGATCACCAGACAGTTTCCCCAGCGTGGGCGAGACTCCGGGACTGCGGGCTCGGGACTACAATTCCCAGAGGGCGCAAGGAGGGGAGACGCCCCATGTCCATCGTGGAAGCTGCTGGGGATTGTAGTCCCAGCCTAAGACTTTGGACTCTTGCTAGGAAATTGTATAAAGATCCAACCCATCCTTTTTACCGACGGGGAGATTGAGACTCAGAGACTCGAGGGGATACCGATTTAGCGAGGGTGTCTTCTCGACTTAGGGGCGGGGCATGTGAGTCTCCCCCAACCTCCAACCTTCTAACCCTTTAGTGGCGTCCAAATCTTCTTTCTAGGAGGGGGAAACTAAGCCTGGAGGGGTGGGACAGGGACTCAGGAGTCTGCCTCCTGCAGCCCCGGCGAGATTAAAGTCTGAATTCTATCTGCGTGGCCACATAGACCTCGGCTTCTGGACCTCGCCCTTCCTGTCTGTGAAATGGACTTTGGGTGATTCCCAATGGGAACGTCTCGAGAAGTCGGCCTACTGCCCCTGCAGGACTACAAGTCCCAAGGTGCTCGAGGCGACCCCTACTCCCCCTCCTCTCTGGGACCCGCCTCCCGTCTGCCGGAGTCACGTCGTCTAACCTGTTCCCGGCGCCTGCCCCGCCCCGTCCTCCGCTCCCCGCAGCCGGAGCCGGAGCCGGAGGAAGTCCCCCGGTGCCAGGATTTGCCCCGGATCCGTGAGTTCCACCCACCCCTGGGGTCCAGCGGCTCGGGGGGAGCCCGACACCGCGTCCCTGGGAGGACTGGGAGGGGACTCGGACACCGATTCCCAGGGCGGAATTGGGCGTTCGCAGATGCCAGGGTCCTTCGAAGGAAAGAACTCCTATTCACTGGGCAGAAGGAAAGGGGACCCTGATGCCTGAGTTCTAGGGGTGGAGGGCTCGGACGCCGTGGTCCCGGGGGGACGCTGGAGCTGGGACTCCCGAGTTCCACGACTTGGGCGCTCTCGGAAGCCCGAGTCTCTGAGTAGAATTGGAGTATCAGATCCCTGAGTCTTGGGCAGCAATGACAAGACTCGGACTTCTGGACCCTGGAAAGGGCGGCCATCCCTGCCGCCCTCCAGCTGCCTTCTCGACCAAGCCTCTAGGTCTCAAGGTAGAATTAGGAGTGGGATGAGGATAGTGGAACTCGGGTCCCTGGAATGTAGCAGGACAAGCCCCCGAGGTCCCCCTGGAGGCTAGGTTCCGGCGCTCCCTACACTTTCCGGCTCTGGGGTGGGGGCGAGGAGGGGAACCGAGGCAGCTCTCCAACCTCTGTGGGGCTGCGACATCGCCAACATATCATTAACCGGGGCGTCAGACCTGCCTAACCAGAGGGGGGACCTCCACCCCAGGGCGCCCCCTGGTGGGAGCGGGATCCTCCCATTACCCCCACGGAGGTGGGAAATAACTTGGGGTTTGCAGAGGGGGTTCTGGAACCCAGGGCCGAATTCCAGAAGGTAGGATTGGATTCTGGGAGGCTTGCATGCCTGGGCCCTACACAGTCATTGCACAGAGAGGACAGGGGTAAACTGAGGCTAAGAAGTCACACAGGTAGCAGAGTTGATTGGAGTTTGGCTTCCTCCTCTTTCTGCAGCCTGTCTGGGAG